GCGCGCCCCCCCGGCTGCCGCCCCCCCCCCCCCCCCTGCCAGTCTCCTCAGAGGGGCGGCTGCTGCTGGTCGGGATGGGCAGAGCTCGGAGTGAGGCACGTGCTTGTGGCGACTGCACTGCCACCTCCGCCTTTGTCAGCCCCGCCCCTCATTCCCATGTGCCGTCTATGTTTACATAATAAATGTTTTTCTTCGAATCAAGGCACTTTTTATCTAATTATTTATTTTTAAATCGTGCGCGTTGAGAGAGACAGAGAGAGAGAGGGCGGGCGTGGTGCGGCGACCCTCCAGCCTCCATAGGTTCTGCCATCGGGCAGGTGCCACCACGCCCTCCAGTGACTTTGTAAAGCTAGGCTGCGTTTGAGAGGGAACGGGGCTGGGCCTGGGGTGCAGCCGTAGTGCCCTGCTCCAGAGGCCAGACGCTGTGTGGAGGAGGTCCGAGTCAGCGCCCGAGGGCCAGCGTGCCCGCAGGCCGGGGGCGGGCCCCCCGCCGCACACACAGGCACACTCTCGCAGGGATAAAGACAGAGGAGAACGAGAGCAGTGAAGGCAGCACCGACCACCTCCGCGGGCAGGTCGGCAGAGCACAGCTTCCATCTTGCCATAGGGGCTGTGTGCTCGCCAGCGAGACAGAGAGGGAAAGGGGGTCACGGTGTGGGGGGATGGCCGTGCCCAAGCCCTTCTCTGTCCCCCTCCTGAGACTTTGGACACACACAGCTGGTGTGTTTCTCCAGTCACGCGGTCTGGGTCTCAAACCGCGGAATCGCCATGTGGGACCCGGCACCCTCAGCTCCACACCCCGAAGTGTCCCCTGTTCCATCTGGGTAGCTACGTGCCCAGGGGCTGCACGGTGTGCTCCATCCGGGATGGTCGCTGTGCGTGGCTGGGACTTGGTCTCTGTGCCGCACTCAGGTGCCCTGGACAGAACGCCGTGCCTGGGCTAGGGGGGCCGCGGTTGCAGCCCTTGCCCGCCCTGCCGTCTCACCACCCCGTACAGCGCCTGTGTGGACCCTCTCCGTGACCTCGCCTGGCTGAGACCTCAAACCCGGGCTGTTCTGTTTTACCTAGCCCATGGCTCCTCCTCCAGGCAGCATTTTAGGACTAGGAAGCCCTGGCTTTCTAATATCTTACTTACTTGATCACTGAGGCTTATCCCTTTCAGTGTCTGGACCCTCTATGGTAGAGGCAGAAACGGGGTCTTAACCACCAAAACATCCATTCGCCCATGGCTTGGGGCAAGCTTGGAGCTGAGATCTCCCGTCTCCAAAGTGTGGCTTCTCTAGGGCACAGCGGAGACAGACATGACACCTGACAGGAGGCGCTAGTTCGGAGCGGTTTGAGGGACTCCCCAGGGGGAGATGAGAAAGCCCAGCGCCCACGCCCCCACGCTGTGTGTCCGCAATCTAAAGGGGGACGTGGGTTCTCAGAGCGTCCGGCGTTTCGGAGGTGGTCCGGCCACCCGTCATCCTACGGGGATGGGGCCGTGGGGCTCCGAGGGGCTAAGCAATGGCAGAAGTTGGGCAGCCCAGAGCTGGGGGGTCTGGGGCTGGCTTCCGCCTGGCTCTCCCCGTTCTCGCAGGGGTGACGAGGTCATGGGGAGCGGCTGTCGTCCTTCCTGCGATGTGTCTGCAGGGCTTCCCCCCACGCCCCGGGGAACTCCGTGGCCCCGTTACGAGGTCGGCTCCTGACCCAGCCCCCCGGGGCCGGGGCAG